ATAAGGATCACATAAATGCATCAAGTCCCACCCTGACCAATTAAAGATATAGCAGATAGAGGAGGTTGCAGATTTTTATGTTGAATTGAAGCAAAAGGTCTTCAAAATACCCTGAGGATGTGAGTTGGGAGAGCTCTGGACTGGAATTCAAATTATCGGAGTTCCTGGCTTCATCTGTGATATGTCGCAGTACAAAGAAATAAATGTCTTAATTTAGTACCTCACTTTCACACTTTATCGCCTCATGTGGAGGAGCCACTGTAGTGTAGATTGAACCCTAGGCTGTGGATAGCCATGTGTGACCTAAGACCACGCATGGATCTGCATCACCTGTCTAAATCAAACCTGTTCTGGTAATGCAAAAATTTGACAGCAATGGCCCCCAAACCATGGTTCATAAACAGGACATGCCTGTAAAACCTAATGCTTTTCAAGGCTGCAGGAAATGAAAACGTCTAAGTGAGACTAACGTGGAAAGAAGAATATGCCCCTACTTGCCATCTGTACCGTTGCCTGGCCCAGCAGAAGTAGGACCTGCTGCTCTGTAGACTCATGAACCTCTATAATTTAGAAGGGGATTGAGATACCAAGGAGGCTTAGCTATAACAGTTTATTTCTGTTTTGCTAGTCTGAGAAAAAAAAAAAAAAAAGATGTTTTCTTAGACATAAAAACTTTTGACTTCAGACTAAGGCCTCTGTTTCCTGAGCACAAGTTATTTTGTGATCATCAAGGAGAGCCAAAGAAAGGCAAAGGTTGGCACACTTTGGTCATCCTAAGAAAGTCTACTCTTTTGAAGCCTCCAACTTTACTTCTGGCTTTGTAAAATAAAATGACTGGAGCAAATTCATCATAGAACCTGCTTTTGTCAGGTCTAGAGGGGAACAAGTCTGCCTCGAGCAACGGAGTCGAGAGAGAAGTAAGTACCAGAGATTTCTTCATGTCAGCTAAAGACCTTGCTCACGGTTGCTGTGTATTTTGTGCAGTTTGAGCTGAGGTCTGCAAAGATGGATGCTAACAAAAGTTGATGAGGGACAAAGAGCATCATCGCTCCAAAGTGATTAAAGTTTCTTAGATAATCTTTTAATCTTTGCCTTGTGCTTCTGCTTTATTACACTTCTTTATTACCCAAAGACACTAAGAGTCCTACCTGTCTCTCAGGGATGTGTCGAACCCAAACACCCCCTACCCTTCTACCATCTGACAAAAAATGAGTGGTAACATATGTTAATCCTGCTCTTGATACTTGTACTGTCAGAGCCCCCCGAAAGACTTTGGTGGTGGACAGCATGGGCACAAATTTGTATGGACATCAGGGCTAATGCAAAGTGTGCGAAAGACCAAGGATTGCTCCTAAATGCAAGATCTGTGACTTAGAGCATTAGGACACTAAGCAGGGCATGGGCAGAGCCTGTCTTATGTCACGTGGTCAGAGATCAGGAGGAACCCTCTGTGCCCATTCGAATTAGCGGGTGATAAAGCACTGCAAAAAGGTGATAAAAGAATTAGTTCAGATGGCAGAAACCACAATGGAAAACACTGGGGGGGTAAACTGCATTGGACCTGGGAGGACTGGTGGAGCAAAGAATGGAGCAGACACAGGGAGAAATCACATTGGGGAATAAAGTAAAACATATCCGGAAATTATATTCCCTGGAGCGTGTATTTATTGAAGATTACAATTCCTTACCTGGTGAACAGCAAGAACAGATGGGAGTATATCTTGCTCTTCCATCAGCTGTACTGTTCTCCCATTTATAGGCACTGAAGGCTCCATGGCAGGTTAAAACAAAAGGCCGTGTCCTGCTGACCGTGCTCGCGGGAGAGAGTTCCTAGTAATTGAGGTCCTGGGTGAAGTGGAAGGACTAGCATGTTTCTGCCATCACGTTAGCAACGAGGGAGAAGGCAGGCCATGGCTTTTGTGCCTCCTTTTTTCAGATGTTTCTTTGGGAGATGGCACTTGCTTGTGTGATCTTGCACAGACTCAGTGGGGAAGGAAAGGTGAATGCACCTGCTCTTTGGGTGAATGTTCAAAAGACTGGTCAGACCCACCTGTAATGGTCAAATTAGGATAACTAATCATAAGGAAATACTGATGGGTTGTGTGGTGAAATGGAGCAGAGCAGGGCCCCAAGTGTCAAAAAAGCTACCCTATGAATTATATATTTAAAAGCATATGGCGTGTATGTGTTGCTGCAAGATCCACGCTCCCTGATTGCAGAGGGCAAGGACCAAGGTTGGGACGAGTGTTCCCTGTTGAGAGAGGGAATTGCTTGGATGTGCGACCAAGCCAGCAGGAAAGGTCACTTAGCCAAAAGGCTCAAGTTGCAGAAGCAAGAGGATTGCGTAGGAGTAACTGATGCGATGTTTGTGCCTGTTCAGTCCTGGCTGTGCGGTAGCTTGGGGTATGCATGTATGCGAAAGAAGGAGAAATAACTAATGTTCTTGTACGTATGAAGCAAGGAAATTGTAACTAGGGCTCCGGCTCTGCATGGTCCTCTCCCCGCAGCCCAGCAGGAGCGTTTTGAGCGGCCAAAGACGATGGCTCGCTGTCCATCCCCGAAGGGCAGCTGGCGTCCTTCCCTGTGGGCTGGAGGAGCGATGGGAATGTGCTTAGCAGGCAGGGCCCCTGCGTACCGTGGTGGGAGCTAGGTTCCCGCGGCCCGTCCTTGGCAGGAGCTGGGTTCCCACAGTTAGGGGGTGACGGCGGCCGCTCGGCGCAGGCAGGAGTGATGCTTCCAGAGATGATGCCGACAGGAATGGGGGATAATATTCTTCCTTCCACTGTATAGCTAGGATGGGAGTGAAGAAAGAGAGAAAGGGGCAAATGGGGGCAATAGTGTTTAGCCCCATCTGTCGCCTCCACTTCCCAAATTATTTTTCTCTTTCTCCCCTCCTCTGCCTTCCCTTCCACTGCTCCCCCTTTACGTTCCTTTAGTTCTGGCATTTAAGCTTATCGTGTTGTTTGTTTTATGCTCTTGGCTTGTTTTCCAGTTCCCGTTCTGGGTTAGTATCACAAATGATTAGTCTTGGAGCCTAACGAAGGGGCTCAGACATGACTCTAGGGTACGTCTGAGCCGTTTAGTGTTTGCAAATGTAGAGCTCGAAGATCTGCTGTGAAAGTTTATTTTTAAGCTCCCTGAGAAGATAAAATTGAACGTGGGCTTCTTTAGGATGTAAACAATACAACTGAAATTGCTCCAGGGAGCAGCGCCCTCGAGGCTTTGAAGAATCCCAGGGGCAGTTTGCAGTGCTTGTAATAGCTTTTAATGGATGATCACATTTTTGTCACGTTTTCATCACGTGGTCTGAAAGCTTGAAACCATATATTAATATTGAGCCTTGATTTTTAAGAGTAGTGTTGAATCTTTCATAATATGATTATTGTCCAGTGCCAGGAGATATAAAATAAAAATAAAATTGTTGTGCAAAATAACCTTCAAAAATGAGAGCATTTTTAGCACTTGCTCTTCTAAGGTCCTGCTTTTGCCGTGTTGAGAGATAGTGGGAACTGCTTAGGTCCTGCCTGCTAGAGCAAGGCCAGGTTAGAGCATCTTCAGGTCTGCTCTGACTCACGTCACTCGATGATGTTTTGCTGGGGACTGTAGCAGCAGCTCAGTAAAGCAGCAGAGCTGTGTCACTAGCAGTGCAGTTTGGCCCTGGTGAAATGAGGTGTCCACGTAGTGACTCAGGTCCCCATTCACCGTTGGCTGATGTGATGCAGATCATTAGTCACCAACTGGTAGTTGGTTACCCTTTGATAGGCTCCTGGAAGGACCAAAGGTCATGCAGGCAAAGCAGCTGAATCAGTCCTCCACCTCTCCTGCCTTTGGTGTGTAAAGCAGTTACTGGTGCTTGGGCGGTTGTTTTAGTGTGTGTCCCTTCAGGCTGACCCAGACTATCTCGTTTTATCCTGTATTCTCTGACTGCCCTTGCTGTTTGGTTAGAAGCTCTGTTATAGCTGCGTGGTGGGACCAGACCTGTAGCTGGGAGTGTCTGGTGTGCCTCTGTGTAGCGGTAGCTCCTTCTTCAGCAGCTCCATAGGAGCCTTCTAAACCATCTGGGGTTTTATTGAGGAACTGAAATTCTTCGTTCTTTCCTTTTATTTTTTCTTTTCTTATTTCACTTCTCCATCTCCTAAGCTTCCTGGTTTCAGCTGTACCTCCTCATCTAGTGTCTATCCTATAGGTCCTAACACCCCATCAGCCTGTTCTCCAGTACCTCTAGTGATGGCTTGCAAATCTCTCTAGACCAAGTCCCTTGTGCCGTTACCCATCCCAGTCTCAAGGGCTACCTGGTTCTTTGACATCGAGTAGAGTACCTGCATATACCTGGACACAGCTAGGTATAGAGACTGCCCTTCTGCTTCCTTATCTGCAGATTTTTCTATCCGACACCTGCAATTCAGTCTTTTCTGCCTGTCCTGGCTTATCTTGATCGTCACAACCCTCTCCTCTGGCTTTGGTGCCAGCTGCACCCTCGGGTGCGCGGGAGAAGACGTTGGTTTGGGCTCTGTGTGTGACTTTTTTTGTCTTTATGGCAAACACTGATCTTATTTTTAATTCCACTGTGTCTCCTGTCCCCCTGCTGCCATGGCCCAACGTGTGGGTGCTGCTGCTTGACCGTTTCCTCCGCTGGTCTCCTGCCAGCTGCAGGCTGGGGTCCCTCGAGAGATCCCTGCTGTTGCCTTTTCTGTTGCCCACCGAGAGGCTTGCTGGAGGTTTCTGGGTTTTGCCGTAGCAGAAATAAATTACGCGCTCTTCTCAGACAACGTGGCGTGGTCCAAATTGTCGTTTGGAGCGGGTGCAGTTAGCAGTGAAATGAACATTAGAAGGAATCTAGAAAACGGCGCTCTCGGGCTTACGTAGCAATGCCTGTATGGCTGAAGACCAACTGGCACGTGTCATTCGTGGGGAGCCGAGTGAGGTGGCATGAGAGCTGTAATGGGGTCAAAGTTTCACACCGGTTGCGATTTGGCCAGGAAAACTGGACTCTGCCTGCTCGGAGGCCTGTCCGCAAGGAGCGTCTCTGCATGAGAGCAGAAGGATCCTCTCTCCCTTATCTCGGAAGCCGCGTGTGAGCGCCGGCGTGACCTTTGGTCCGAGGATTTGGAGGAATAAAGTTCAATGGGAATGAAGGGGCATTTGCCCTGGTGGGAGGGAGTCACAACTCACTGCGCTCCTCTCCAGCAGTGCCCGGCGAGTGTTGGGTGCCGACATCAGACCGCGGAGCAAGTGGCTCTTCAGCTCATCTTGTATTTTGCTCTCTTGCAGCTGCGTAAATGAGTATGGAAGATTATGACTTCCTCTTCAAAATTGTTTTAATTGGCAACGCCGGTGTGGGGAAGACCTGCTTAGTCCGCCGCTTCACTCAGGTGAGACCGGGCGTCTGTCGGATGCGTGGTGAGGAGGTGGGAACGTTGCTGCGCCCGTTTGGATGAGGAGCGGGCGCTAAAGTAACTCGGACACTGTGGCTGCGAACTGAATTGTCCGCTGGCAGCGCAGCTCTTGATTTATTTTATTGGCTGCATTTCTTAATGCATGTCACTGATATCACCAGCACAAACGATACCTTATTAGTGCTGACAGCGAGCTTGTTGGGGTTCTGCTGTTAGGAAAAAGTCATCCCTCTCCTACAATGGAAAATCTTCCCTAAGAGCTACTGGAAAAACTCCTCCTGATTTTGACCAGAACACCTTTTGATGTGCTTTCCAGGATGCCTTTTCTCTCTGGTCCCTCCAAGGTAGAAGAGGCAAGTCAGTTAGCTTGTGCAAAAAGCTGTCACTTTAATTTTATATTATTAGATAATTGGGTAAGCTCAGGGTCCAGGGCTGTCGGTCCCGTGTGTTCTGTTAAGCATCAGAGTCTTTAGAGTTTATACCTCTAGAGCTTTACTGAGAGCATGAATTGAAGTGTGCTGTGGTGGGCTGCTGGCGATAAAATGAGACCTGGTGTTGCCTGGGGAAAATCTCAGCTCCCTGCTTTTGGGGCTTTACATGCACAGGCTCCAGAAAACCTTGCCTAAGAGTGGGGATTGGCAGGCCCTTATCTATCAGCCTGATTGCAGAAAACTAATCAAATGCAAAAGTTTAAGGACTGGCTTCCTTTTTTGTAAAAGGCTGGTGGGGAAAGGACTAGACTTCTGGCTGAGAAGTTTTTCTGATGCACATGATGCATTATATAATGCAAGTTTTGTGTTTTCTTGCTGTGGGGTTTGTGGTTTTTTAGTGTTTTTTTTTCGGTTGTTGGGAATTGTCAGCAGTTGCCCCCCACTGATACTTTTATTTTTAAAACTGTGGCAGTGTTAAACACTCTCTCCTATTGAGCATAAATAGCTAGTGGCAATAAAAGTAGACCCAAAGGGTTAATTGGGAAATCTGTAGCTAGCTTTGCTGCTGCCTTTGCTTTGGCAGCGTTATTGCTACTGCTGCTGTAAGAGATGGATACATCCTAAAATCAACATGACCTTGTAGGCCTGGACATGAGAAATCAAAAAGCTGTTTTTTTTTTCCCTTGGTTTGCAGTTGTTCCTTTCGGATGGCATTGAGATTGAATAGTGCCAGAAGTGCAACAGCCACAGACTCTTGGCATTGCTGCAGTGCTGGTAGCGGCTCGGTCTGATTTTTCTCGAGCTGCTCTGCAGGAACCTGAGCCTGTTGCATGGCACCTGGCAGAAATATCTTTTGATGCTCTTACAGCACAGTGGAGGGGAAAAGGAAAGGCATGAGGTTGCAGGAACAAAGTCATCTTGTCTCATCCTGCCTCCTTACGCTTTTGCTCCCACCTCTTTAAAGGAGTTGCAAAATTAGATCAGAGAGGCTGCTGATAGCAGCAGCCTGTACAGAAGCAGAAGGGCTTTTCCCTTTTGTTTTCCCCTTAATTTGTCCCTTGTTTTCCTTCTCCTGTTTGCTTTCCTACCTCTGAAGTCAGCTACTTTCTGCAGGATTAGAGACCTATAAGTAGGGAGGACATTGTGGGTTGAGTTATGGTAGCCTTTGTACTGTAGAAAGTATCTGTTTTATTCCCCTCAAGATGCAGAAGCGGATTTTACTGTCTCCCACACTGGATTTTAAGTGTATTTGGGGCCAGATCAGTGTGCGGAGCCTCACCAGACCCCAGTGCACCTGCCTGGGGTAGTGCAACAACCGGTTGCACTTTTTAGTGCTGTTCATTTAGAGCTGTTGCCTATGTAAATGTGATTGGAAATAAGTGCCTGGGGAAGAGGGCAAGAGTGGAGTAGTGTTGGGGATGGAAAAGGGTTGGTACCCAGAGAAAATTTTGTCTTGCTACAGAACGTGCTTAATGAAACTCTTCTTTTCTTCCAGGGGCTTTTCCCACCAGGTCAAGGAGCCACGATTGGGGTTGACTTTATGATTAAAACTGTGGAGATCAATGGTGAAAAAGTAAAGGTAGGAGCCTGCTGATGCTCGGCTTAAACTCAGGTAGCAGTACGATAGTTCAGGTCTCTCTCCAAAAGCAGCTGTCCTGCTGCTGGAAGGCCCATAGACACATACTGGAGTGTGAGGTTGTGTGTCATAGCTCAAAAGATGATGGGCATTACACTTGATCTCTGTTCCTCTCTTCACAACTACCATCAGGATCATAATAGTTAACCTGCTCTAAAGAAGAAAATAAAAAGGGGGAGATTTTGCAAAATTGTCTTATGGTTTATAAGGCACTGAGATCTTGCCTGGCTGAGGTTATGGAGGTGCAAAGAACCATTGCAATGCAATCTCCGTTTATTGCATTTCTGGTAAGCTGAAATCAGTTGCATTCCCCCTGGGATGTACTCAGTGAAGGTTTTCTCCTGCTGAGCTCCTGAAATTACTGGCAGCAGGGAGAACAGATTTCTGGGCTTGGCAGGGGGTTCTGCAAAACAAAGGCTCATCGCCAGCTTCTGCTGAGTTATGAGTTTGGGAGAAGTTGACTGTCGCAATGCTGGCCCTTTAGTCAACAACAGGCTGAAGGGATAAGGTCAACAGTGACCCATGTCCACGTTATTAACTCTTTTACCCTGCAAGCTAGGGTGATCCTATCCAAACTGCCTGCTGGAAACTGTCCTTGTCCTGTGCTAACTCCTGAACTGAGCCTGGGTGTCATTTGGCAGACAGCTAGTTTACCCAGGCCAAAACATGCCAGAGCCCAGTCTAACAATTTAATGGGATACATGATTGGGTGCCAGTGCCTAGAGGTGTTGGCTGGCACTGTTTAATTCATTAGTAGAGGTTTAGTCCCAGCTGGTATGGTGTTCAGGAGGTGGGAGAAGAATGTGATTATCTGAGCTTCTGGTGTCAAAAAGGTGTCCAGGGTCTCTGAGCTACTCCTGGAATTACTCTGCCTGAATTAACTCCAAGGGCATAGAAATGAAAAACAACTGTTTTCTCTTTGCTACCTACACCAAATCTAATAGTGAGCAAGTGGAAGAACCTGCATCAGTGTGGCCGTGATTGGATGTGAGACCTGGACCCATTTTTAAGCTCATGCAAATGGTGGGTTGGAAACGGTGGGCTTGTACAGATTTTCAGTCCTGGGTGTGTGGGGTGTGTGTGTGTGTTTGTTTTCTCCATGCATTTTTCAGTGCAAGGTTTTTGAGAAGAAAATCAGGTGGTGTGTTCATAAGTTTAGGACAGATTGGAAAAGTTACAATAATGTCTGCAAGCTCCTACTCTGCCATATGAGGAGCTGTAGAAGCCTATGGCAGGCGATAGTCCTTAACCAAAAGACCATTCAGTTTAATCAGGTGAAGGACAGGAGGTATTAATACCTACATAAGGATAAGGACCAAGTTAATGAGTTGCCTGTTGCTTTGCAAGTGGGCTAGAGCAGCAGGCAGGAAAGCAGTGCTAGCCTGACAAATACAGATGGATCTCCAATAACTCTAGCTTGTATTTGAGATCAGCTTTTTAAACAGCTGAAGTTTAGTGGAATTACCGTCAGCAAGGACTTGTCTGTGTTTGACTTGCACCTGTGACATAATCCCCCTTTAGCACTGGTTTGGCCTGAGGGTGCAAACTCTGTAACGGCGAGAAGGTTGTGAGCAGAGTTATGCATGGGGTAACTGAGAGACAGAGACCACACTCAGCTTGTACAGACTCCTTGCACAAACTTGTTTGTTTATAAATCCCTGTTGCCCTCAAAATAGCTGATAAGTGCACAAGTAGCCATCAGCGCAACTTTTTTTTAAAGCTGGATTGTGTTTAACAGAGCAGTTGGCAAGTGCTAGTTGGTGAGTTGTCATATAGCAAATAGGAGTTGTTGTTAAGTCAAAGGTCCCCTCTCTTCCATCAGTGGAGTAAGCCGAAGTCACTAGTTCGGCTAATGAGCTGATGCGCAAAGAAACTTAATACTGTAAATTTACCCATTTGAACCATCCTTCCAGAGTCTGTAAGACAAAGTGCTTTCTTTCCACCTCTCACAGCAGTGCAAACAGGTAGTGATCTGAAAGTTATTGAATAAGCAGTGCTAGTAGGAATAAACACTGAATGGGTTGGTGGGAAAAGCAGTATGACTCAGGGCACAGAGCAATAAAACCAACATCTCCCTCAAACCAACAGTGGCTGTTAGCACGTTTAACAGCGCCCGAGTTGTGACTCTGCTTCTGGGCAGCGTCTCCTGCACATCCGTCAGGATCCAGGGTTAGAGAGCAGCACTATTTACCAAAACAATTTTAAGATTTAAAAATAAACAATAGATGTCTGGGCAGATTACTTTCTAGCTTTCAGGATTGCGTTCCAAAGCGGCTGGAGAAGGATTTGCCAGCACGAGGGCTGGGCAAGCCATTTCGGATGTAAGAAGAGCTACTAATGCTCAATGACAGGCCAGCTGTAAAAAGAAAAGAGTATTTGCTTCTCTTCATGTTCTTCGCATACAACGTCATGAAGCGTGTGAGACAGCACTGTGCAGCTCAGAAGGGGTTTTTGATCTGTCTGATCTCTTCTAACAGACCCCAAAATATGCCCAACATATGTACTGTCTAAGAGGCTGCACAAATTCAAGCCAAGTAGATGGTAATTGTAATGCTGGTCAAAGATAAACGTCCTCAGTGCTGCAAACATAAGGCTGTGCTATGTGCATCTGTGATCTTATTGCACGTGCGGAAGTGTTTGTATGCAGAAGTCTAAATTCGTATGCAAGCGCTGGGAGGTGGGGAAGCATCAGCTGGCTCCCAGGAAATTAACTTTGATTTCTGCAGGCTGAACCAGGCACCAGCCTTTGGTAGCTCTGAGAAAGCGGTACGAGTGAAGTAGCTGCTGTCAAATCTTTCACTTGGCAGAAATAAATTGATCAGTGGGATAAAGCGTGAGACATGAATTTTGCTTCAAAGTCGATTTTTATCAGTGCTTTTAAGTTCTAGGGCTTTTCTTCTAATGTTTGTATCCATCTGGTAGGTAGATTCACAGCAAGAGCTGGTAACAGAGCCTTCTCTTCCAAAGCAGCCTGGTACAGTCCGTTTTGATTTCAAAATCTGTTGTATTAAAGCAGTGGAAGAACATAACCACATCAAAAGCCCTTTTCAGCTCAGAGATCTTCTGGATAAATGCAAAGCGTTTATAAACTCATTAACCACTAGACCAGTCAATAGATGTTTTTTTTCCCCCTGAGAAACAGATGAACAAAAAAATTGGCCTTTTTTGCCATCTGCCAGTTTGAAGGCTGACTTGTTTTAAAGAGTTGGTTGCTATCTGAATTTCACATGTAAGTTTTACGTACCTTAACTGCAGGTGCCATGTTCAGCTGTCTAAACACAGCTATGCCAAGAGATTAGGCAGCAAGGTGCCTGGGAGTTGTGAATGAGCCACAAATTGTGTTTGCAAAGAGGTACTTTTTCAAAATCATACGCCTTGTCTGAAAGCTGTTTTAATGGGGGCTCTTATTTTGAAATAACGTATTTATGATGATTAGCTGATGTGGTTCAGCTTGGGAACTCAGCAAGAATAAGGTTTGCTCTGTTATGGGCTGCACAGCATAGGGAAAAAATCCTAAATATTTTAACTTCTGCCCAAAATACACAGATTTCTGGCTGGAAATGAACCTTTCACATACTTAACTCCAGGGAGGGGCACTTTTAAAAAACAACAACTGAAGCAGAGAAATACTCTCTGAAGCTGGAATATTTTAATTTTGGATATTTGCTGCTTTGCATTTTTGAAACATTGACAGTGTTTGGGTCACGAAAAATTCATGGGCTGGTCAAATTATAGAAATGAGTTTGATTCGTATTAGGAGATGTCTTGTGTGTTGTCTCCCTGGTCCCAGAGACCTTTGCAAGTATCAGTTAAGCCTCATGACCTCTTCTGTATAGATAAGGAGGTATTAACCACTTCTACGCACTGGGAAGAAAGGCAACGAGCAACTGGGTGATGTGTCCCAGGTTACGTAGGGGAAGTGTAGTAGAACCCCTGAACCGGCGTTCAGCGGCAAGTCTGAGCTCTGTTTTTGCTCCTACGGTTTGCACCCCTTTGACACACCATCTCAATGTAATTAAACTCTGGGAGCTAGAGGAGAGGCTTTCTTAGCACTTCTGTGATGGACGTTGCTGTCAATGCAAAGCGCCTGTCAGATGTCTTGGGAAGGAGCAAGAGAAGTGATTTTTTTTTCCCCCCCCTCCCTGCAGCGCCTGCATTATAATTCCACGCCGGCAAAGCTGACTCTGTCCGCTGCTGAACGAAATGCCAAAAGTCACACGAAAGCTTGCAGACCTGCGGCTTCCCGGGGATGTCGGCTGGAACACCAGCCGAGCTTGTGCCTTGCATTTCAATCTCGAAATACAAAAACGGAAACAAAAATTGTTGGGGGAAGGGGAAGCCAAAGGGGAGAAGAGCGAAGTGCTTTCCCAGCGTTGGTTTTACCCTGAAGGCATTTAGGTCAAAAGGATGCTGCTACCAAGTAAAAAATGTTAAATTTATTCTTTTTTTTTTTTTTCTTTCACTGCTCGCCCTCGTTATGCTAAAAGCTGCAGATCTGGGACACGGCAGGACAAGAGCGATTCCGGTCCATAACGCAGAGTTACTATCGCAGTGCTAACGCGCTAATACTGACCTACGACATAACCTGCGAAGAGTCCTTCCGATGTCTTCCCGAGTGGCTGAGAGAAATAGAGCAGTACGCCAGCAACAAGGTCATAACTGTGCTAGTCGGTAAGTGCCGGCTGTCCTTCAGAAGGTGGTTTGCAGCGAGGTCGTGAGCTGTGTGTCAGGAGCCCCTGAGAGCCGAAGGCAGGCGGAGGTGTTAGCAAAGGCATGTGTTAAATAGCGGTGCAGGATTCCCAGGTGGATACGGCAGTTCTTGTTGCCAATCAGAGCTGTAAGCCCAGGGGCATAAGGTACAGCTGGTCCCTTTGGACGAGGTGACCCACCATTTGGATGGTGCAGATTAACCCCAACGCTCCGGTGATGTGCAGGACACTAACAGCTGCTTCTCAAAGGGTGGACTTCTCCCAGGCCTAAGGTCTCTGCCTGCAGAGGTGGATGCTTGCCACAGGTTGGTCCCATAAGGGACTAAAATGGTGTTTGTGCGGCTACTGATAGAGCGAACCATAGAGCCTTTTGCCTTGCAACTCCCAGCTCAGAGCTCTACAAGTATTTGGAGGTCTTCTGAAGCTGTCAGTGGCTGCAGGGTGTTATGCCCCAATAGCTGTGGGACCGCTGGAGTCTTGGCCAGAGTGGGTCGAGATCTGGGAAGCAGGACACAATGGGTATGTGGTCCTAGCATTACAGGTGGGACAGAGCTGGAAAACTAAATTTTTTTTTCCTATGGATTTTAAGATTTAAAGATAAATACTGGAAGCTAAGTTATCTGTAGTGGCTTCAACTCAAGCTAAAACAGACCTCAGACTGTCTGCCAGAAGCAAGATGAAAGGTATTTTGCCTGCATGTGCTTTCCTGTGCTTTCCTTTCAGAATCTGGCAGTCAAAACCTGACGGTTAAAGGCCCAAGAATATCTAAAGAAGAATAGAAAAATAACATGGGGAAAGCTACAACTTTTTTTTTTAAACTGCAGTGTCCTTTTCTTGTTAATAGTTTGCCACTAAAAAACAAAGAATAGTTCTGTAGGATGATCTAGTATGTTTATTACCAATTTCAATTTTAGAATATCTTTTTGGTATCTTTAAAAATCTTTTGAGCTTTACATGTCACAAAACTGTTGCACATGAACATTAGGATTTAAGGCACTTCCATACGAGAAACTCCTTACACTACATAAGAAGAATATGGGACTGGTATGAATAGCACAGAAATAATTTATAAGTGACTAACGAATGTACACATAGATTATTACAGAACATTAAATTTATATTTTAGACTGTAAATGTTGATAAGAAATGCTAACAGCCTCAGCATACTTTTGTGGGTGGTAACAGCCATAACCCACTTACATTAGTAAGTGGTCACTAGTGACTGACAATTGGAAACCTACCCAACTTGTGATAATCTACTTATAAGTGTAACTTTGGTGTATATATACTGTGTCCAAGTAATTATCAGAAAAGAAAGGATAGCTCAGAGGAAAGGATGCCAGCGAGATGTGGCTTGCCAGTGAAAGAGCACAATCTTTTCCTCCTAATAATTCTCACAGCAGCCTCGGAGGAGTTGCTGGTAGAAACTGGGTTGGGGCGGTTGAACTGGCTGAGTCTCTGGACACAATCTCCTGCTATTACAGGTCTTGGTCTGTTATCTTTTTTGAGAGATTAAATTATGGTAAAAACATCATGTTTAAAGTGAAGCGGCCAGTAATAGGGTATAATTGTATCAGACGTTTACCTGGGGCGTTTATCAACTGTCTGCTAAAGTGAGCTCCCAAAGGAAGGGGCTGGTTTCTCTCCCCACCTTGTTCTGTGAGCACCCTTGAGCCCATCCATGTTCCAGGCTCCACAGCCATATCACTCCCAAGAATATTTAATTAAAACAGGAAAGCAGCCCTCTGTGCCAGGCTTGTTCTAAAGCTTATAATTACATGAAAAATATCACATTTAGCAACCCACATGTTATGAATGACATTTTAAGTGCTCCTTAGAGCAAGAACTGGAGAATTTTCAATAGATATTAAAATGGCAATCCTTTAATGCCAGTTGATAGCTTTAATTTAGCCCTAATGCATCTGTTTGCCAACTGACTTGTATGTTCACAGGACATATTCCATTAAATGACCTGATATTACATGAACTTGGTCGCATGTATCAAGGAATCCGTCCTTTGGGGAGGAAAGCAAGCACTAAGAATTTCCCATCAAAAACCCTGTCTGTACATATATACCCTACCAAACACTGCGTCGATCAATTTCTGTTTCTTTTGTCTTGTAAGTCAAATTAATTCCCTTTCTAAAATCTTTTATCGATGCAGGTAATAAGATTGATTTAGCTGATAAGAGGGAAGTCTCCCAACAAAGAGCTGCAGAGTTTTCCGAAGCGCAAGACATGTACTATCTGGAAACCTCTGCAAAGGAATCAGATAATGTGGAAAAACTGTTCCTGGACTTAGCTTGTCGATTGATCAGTGAGGCGCGACAGAACACCCTTGTGAACAATGTGGCATCCCCATTACCAGGAGAGGGGAAAAGTATCAGCTATTTGACTTGCTGTAATTTTAATTAAAGAGCTGGCATGTGATTCCCTGTCCCCCATGGATCAAGAAGACTTTTTGCTGGGATTCATCTCCTTGAAGGGAATTCCTGCCACTTCACTTCAATTCCTGACTTACCCCTGAGTCAGGTTGCAGATCTAGAAGCATGGCAGGCTGGTGGCTCCAGCTGCATGGTAACATAGCAGAATATAACATGGTTTAATTTTAAGTTTTTTTTACAGTCTCTGGAGGTGGTTAGGAAAACAAGGGTTGCACAAGGTGCTTCGTGTAATGCAGAACATGAGCTGTTGTATTTCCTTCTGTAGGAGACTAGAACAGCCTCTTTCAAAGAAGACACTGAAGAGTTCAAAATCTCTCTTGCAGAACAATGTGTTTGATCCTTTTTAAAAAAAGAAAGAAAGAAAAAATATGAACGCTGACCCTGGACTATACTGGCAATCTTCTGGGCTGCCAGCCAATGGATTCTTAGGACATGTAAATAGAGTCTGTCCACACGTCTTCACGGAGGACTCTGGTGTTTGCAATAGTGTTATGTCTCTCATCTACAGGCACTTTCATGAACATGAAATTAAAAAGAAAAGTTATATATATCAGCATTTCCAAGCAACGGTCTGAGAAGAGATATGGATACAGTTCCATTGCTCCCTTTGGTGCTAGCAGTTCAGCAAATATTCTGTAGACCAAACGTAGTCTTACTACATTACTGTCCTCTGAATGTGTAGCTTAGAATAATTAGGAAAAAGAACACTAATAAGCACTGTTCATTTAAATAAAAGATGTCATTACCTCTTTTTCTAGCCTGAACGTAGTGGGTAAGGACTGTGCTTTTTTGGTATCTGACATAGGGTGAAAAGACTTTCAATTAAAAAAACAAACAAAAAAAAAAGAAAACAAATCCTGTCCCCCTCTAATTAGTAATGCCCTAATGTGAAAAATTAGCCTCGGGAACTTTTATTGCTGGAGCTGGAAAAAAATACACCAGACATGCGCAAAATATTGCACGTGCATTGATTGTGTATAAAGGTTCAAAGAGAGCACAGTTTTTAAATGGCAGTTTGCAATATGTTTGAGTAAATATAAAGCTTGTAGATACAGTCCTTGTTGAAAAGCAGGCATACAGTTTTGTAGAATTTTTTTATGCTAAGTGGAAATAGCAACAGGCTGCAAGTGGTATCATTCTGTGTCTAACTCATCCAGCAATCACCGTATGGAACTGTACTCGGAGAAGCTCTTCTTAAAGGTATCTTCTTGGCATCTATTCTCTTCAGAGTAGCTTTCAGATCCACGGCTGTAGAGTGATTTCATTTACTTGATGCTTTGTACTCTTACATCTTGAACTCCGGTATATGTATAACTCTTTAGGCAATTCCTTTCTACAAAATCCCTGAAGTGGAAGCATTATGGAATTTGTTACATTTTTACACCTCTAGTGCCATACTCTAATGCATTGCAAATTCACACATTGACATTAAAGCAAAACTGGAAGACAGGTGAATTTAAAAAAAAAAAAAATGTTCCTGTGCATAAAGTTTGAGATCAGTTCGGCTAACCTGGATGAAACTTTCGTGTCAATTACATGGCTGTGATATGCTATAAGTCAGAATTAATCGGCTTAATATCATTTGGCACTGATGACAACTGAGCTTTTTTATTGACATAAAAAGCTGCCAGTAAGTACTTCCTGAAAATAAAAAAACTAGCATTTTCAAATGCTTTTTCACATTTTCCTAAAAAAACAAACAAAAAAACACCTTTGGGCTATATCATATTGTGCCTTTGCTCTTTAATGGGAACTAACTGTATGTTTGTGTGTTTGAGAGAGAGATGGCTATTTTAATGAATGTTTTCTTGCTATTGTTTAGGTCATTCCTTCTTTTATAAGTAGTGGTCAAAATGAAATGTAGAAGTTGTGGTACAAAACCTGTTTGTCATGTAGGTAACGTTTTGCAAAGTGCTGCTCTAAGTGTTAGATGTTGGGGAAATGTCGTCTAGCACGCTGGCCGTTACTGGTTCTTTTCAGTCTCTGCTCGTGCTGTAATCCGGAGGATTTAGAAATGTGTGGTATTTGATTTCTGCTGTGCTGGACTGTGTGGTACAGCCTGGGCTAAAAAGCACTGTCTGTCTTGAGCATCTCCCAAATGCAACCTTATTTGAGCTTTTAAAGACCATCCAACTCTGAAAGAGCTGATTCTCTACAGCTCTCAGCTGTTTGTTTAAAGCAAGATTCATGAGGTTATATGTAAGATGATACTTGAGTTAGAAATCAATATTACATATATTTGTAAAAGTTGTAAAAGTTCTTACTCTCCAGGTGGTGGAATTGTCAGAAAGCATAAAACTTGATAACAGATAGGGCAGGGCTATTTGATCACGTTCATCAAGGAGGGAAGAGACTGCTCACTACAGCACCTGTGGGTAGCCTGATTTCCAAAAGCATCAAAGCTTCAGGTATAACTGTCCAACACCCTCTCCATCTACTCAATCTCCCAACGCGTTTCACTGGGAAATTTTGAAGCTGTTGGCTGTTTTCAAGCTGACTTGACAGAGACCAGCGCTGATAAATTTGACATAAAAATCTGTTGCTAGTGGAAACTAGAATACTACAGAAATATTTTTGAGCATCACTGAAGGAATAGTGTTAAAACACCAGAGAGGGGGGAACACATGGGAAATGAATAATGAA